CTCTCATTTCTTATTGAATTCCTAAAAAAAAATATTTATAATAAATTTTAATAATTTTTTCGGATTTTTTTGAAACTTTATTCTGACCGATTCACCCGATTCTCGATCCGGATCGCCGATTCGTCGATCCGGATCGGTTTTTTGAAAGCCCGATCCGGGTCACCGATCCGTTTTTTAAACCATTGGTTTAGAAGTTAAGCTCTCGATAAACTGCACCCAATAAATAAACGTTTTGATTTTAAACCAGAGAGGTGGAGGCGGTCACGAGGGTCAATGGAAGGGGACCTACAAAGCGTGCGAGGAGGACAAGATTGAGGCCTCCGTTCTCTTCTGGAACCCTCAGGAAGGACCAGTTCGTCGATCTCCTTTTTCATCTGTGAGATCTACTCTCTCTCTCTGTATGGATTGTTGCTTGCCACGCCGTTCAAAGTTCATGCTTCTAAAGCTTCCTGCTCTTGTATCTTTCTTTTGGGTTTTGTATTAGAGAGAGAGGGGGAGAGATGCAATGCATTTTGGTGGGGGTTTTTGTGCTTGGGGTGATCCTCTTTACATCAATCCCAATGGGTTTTGTTCGTTTTAGTAGCGATGGGTTTCCTTGGGGGCGAAGAATTTTTCTTAGTTTGATGATCTTGAGAGAGAGAGAGGATACATTCTGGTCATTTGCTGGTCTCTGCATTCTAGAGAGAGAGAGGTGGATGGAGAGATGCATTTAGTTGTGTTATGGATTCTTGGAGAGAGAAGTATGGGAATGTGGTGCTGCATTAGATAAAGAGAGAGAAACATGATAAACAAAAAAGAGGGAGGCGTATGCAACTGGTTTTGCTCTTTCCCTGTCTAACCCTCTAGTTCTAGCGAGAGAAACGGGATATGCGAGCGAGTAGTGGCTCTTTCTCTCTCTAACTTTATCACAACTCTCTCTAACCTTGTCCCAGACTTATTCAAATAGCTGTCCGATATTTTAAACATCGGATAACAAATGCTAAAAAAAATTAAAAAGATAAAAGCTGTGTCCGATATTTTAAACATTGGATAAAAAATGTTAAAAAAAACTAAAAAGATAAAAGCTGTGTCCGATATTTTAAACATCGGATAACAAATGCTAAAAAAAACTAAAAAGATGAAAGCTGTCACCTGACAGCATTTTTTTACTCTAATTTTGAAAGATATAAGCCCTGTTTGGTGTTGTGTTATTGGATCGGGAGGTAATTTGGAAAAAAATTGCTGGGGAGTGCTGTTGGTAATTAGAGAACACAATGTTACCGATTTGTAATTGACCCCTTAATTATCTCAATTACATTTGTTACGATGAAAATGTGCTACGTTTTCAGCATTTATTCGAGAACTACTATATGAACTTCATAAAGCAAACCACATGTTTCAACATAAAACACAAAATAAAACCCAAAAAATAACATAAAACACAACATAAGCCAATAGAATGGGTCAAACTACATTGAAGGACCAAGTAAAGCTCGTCTTCCCATCATATTTGAGCAATCTGCAAATCAATTCTATGCAATTAAATCAAGTAAAACCAGAGAGTGAGAGTGAGAGAGCAACTAAATCAACCAAAACCGCAGAGAGAGAGAGGGAGGGTGAGGGAGGGAGAGCAATTAAATCAACCAAAACCTGAGAAAAAAGATATGGATTTCTACCAAAGTTGCAATCCAGGACACTGAAGAGTGACTTCTTGAAGATTTGGCTGAGTAGGCTGAAGGCGGAATCCGCGAAGAGGGGAGAGTTGAAGCATGTTTGCAGGTTGTTCCACTTGATAAAATCCTCCAAATTGATCCAACATCGTTTGGTCTGCCATCTTGTTCTCCATAGCTGCTTGATTCTCTTGTATCTATGAAATTAATTTATAATAATTATAATTAGAATAGCATAAAAACTCAGAAAAATGATGCAAAACCGAAGAAAACTGAGAATACAAGGTGGCGCAGATGGTTGTTTTGTTCTTCTAAAATGCGCTCCTGTTACAAAGAACAAATGTAAATTATACGCTGAGAAGGAAATTAATCTTCTAAGATTTAAGAGAACAGAAAGAAATGGATTTTCAAGGAAAAGAAAATATAGTTAGAAGGAAACTTTGATAGCAAACTCTTTATGTACAACGATTGAAACCTCTTGCTTACTTTCCTGCGAAGATTCTCCAATTGCTGTAGCAGCAGTTCCTCCTAAAGAACATTTGTCTTGAAAAAATTACATACTGATATGCAAATAGATACCAGCAAACTAAGAGAAAGAAATTAGAACATATGAGTGAGTGAGTGAGAGAGAGAGAGAGAGAGAGAGAGAGGAGGACGTACTTCGTGGTACGTAACGTTAGTAGCGGAGTCGTCGTAGTCGTTGTTGTTACGAGTACGTCGTTAGTACGTCGTACGTCGAGTAGGAAGTAA